CTAGCCAAAGGTCTCAGATTTATCAGGCTGCTTGTATGTTTGCACACTGGCTAACACAGTAAGCCTTGGTCCCCAAAGTGTTTACCTAGCCTTATGGTATAAATAATACCTAGAAGGAGAATCAAATGTGGATGTCACACCCCAGTTCAGGTGCAAACAAATTACTTCTAAATCTGAGACATATCAGCACTTACAATAGAAACTGTGAAGCACACAAGCCCCTGCATTTCCCACAAGGATGTAGATAGGACCACAGATCTGAAGGGTCTCAGATCAGGGCTCAGATGTGAGACATGTCCAGACTTATGGACAAAAGTAGACCTGAGATTCTTAAAAAGATGCTGCAAACCCTTAAAAAAATAATAAAAATTAAAAAAAAAATATAAAAAAAATCCCAGAAAAGCCCACTCCAAAACAACCATTCATCCCCCAACTCCCCACTACCCTTCTTGCCTACCTTGCTCCACCCCATTAAAAGCTATTCAGTACACCAACTTGTAGCCTCACCAGAACAAACATCAAATCAAGAAGGGTAGGCAAAAAAAAGAGACAATTTCCTCCCTATCCTCAGTTGTGGATAAATGTTAACAAAGAAATGACTGAATCTTTGTACCATCAAAAACAAGTTTGCTAGCCATACAGGGTTTACAGTGCTAACGATGGGCAGCAGTATGTCATGCTGATAGTTTGTGTTCCTTTTAAGTAAATAAGATTCAGTTTTCCACATCCTTGGTAGCACAGCACTGACTGTGCATAGTGGGATTTCATCTTTGAGGTTCGACATTCAGCAGATTTCAGATTTTCCAACAGTTGGCTGGGAAGCATCCTACTATACGCCTTCACAGCCTGTAACTCTAGCACTGTTGAGGCTTGAAACCAGCAAACCCTCATGCAAACCCTCTGCTGCAGTCACTGTGCTACGTGTGGCTAAACTGAGTACCTGTGACTGTACTGTTGGATTCCCTGGACCCACCCATGCTCCCCGCAGAAAATGAAGGGTTTACTTTCAGTGGTGGATTCAGCTTGTCTGCTTTCAGTGTTGCACTGGAAAAATGTCAGTTGTGGCCTTTTTAATTATATGTTTTATAAAATAGTTGTTGTTATTATTATATAAAGTCTGTGAGGGCCACTGAGGTAATTAAACAGTAGGAGATGAGTATGTGACCTGCACTTAGGTATGGGTAAGTCCAGTGTTGGGTGTCATCATGTGCAGGAGGATCATGTTCAGACATTTAGCAGCTGTGGGTTTGATGTGTCTCCATGCTAATTAAAGGGATGGATTAAAGAACACCTGTTCAGGCAGAGTCACTTTCATGCACTGCTCAGCAGAGCTTGTATTAATTCTGGCCCATATGTGTTTGCTGTAGGAAGCAAGCTGGAAGGAAAGTGAGTTTTGCTGATACTGAAAGGACACAAAAGCTCAGCAAGAAATTTTAACTCTGCATTGATGCTGCTTCTACACAAATTTCTCAGTTGGAGGTCGGGCTTGGTACTGGGGGAGATGTGGAGCTCATTTTTAATTGGAATAGTCATTCACGTAGCTTTTGGCCTCATGCAGATTTGCAGTTGAATTACTAGGCATGAGCAGGTGATAGTAAGGGGCACTCCTGGGTCTCCTTTGGGAGCACCTAGTACTCCCTGCACTGTCTGATGGAGTTGAAGGGCATTACAGCTGTGCACTGAAATTCTACTACTGAGATGAATCACAACCTTTGTCCCAAAATCTCCACAGTTCTATTACCCAGGAATTTCAGTAACTTTACCTTTTGTCTCTCTCTTCCTTCTTCCATCTCTATCATATATAATCACCAATACAGGCAGCCATTCTTAGCCTACCCATGTCTTTACACTCCTTGAACCCATCAGAATTTTGAGTCCACTAGCACACACAGGCTGCATGCCATTTGTCTTTTGACAGCCTGTGTATGTGTATATAAACATAAATCACACACTTGTGTACGTATGTATATTACTCAGGTACTGCATGGAAAAAAAAAAATCTTTATATATGTATATATTATAGTATTTCTGTTTTCAAGGCAACTGTTTAGAAACTCGGCTGCATACTTCCTTACTGTCACCTGATTCCACTGGTCTTGAAGGCATTGTCCAACCTTTTCCAGGCATGTGCACGGTTTTCTGATTGACCCCTCCTTTGCACTGCTTCCCTATGAATGTCCTTCCTGCAGGGCAATCTGGTCTAAGTTTGCATGACACACTCACCAACTTCAGAGACTTGGGCTCCCTTGGCAAATGATAGCATTGGGAGGATGGATGTTAGAGCAGAGTGGTTGAGTTGGGACCCCTGAATCCAGCTCTCTTAGGGAGAAGAGTTTTCAAGCATCATTGAAAGAGCTGCAGGACCACCTGAAATGCAGCTCTGGAGGGACACAGAGGGTTCAGAGGCAACTCTCAGTGACCCTGAAGCTCTGTAACAGAGGGTTTGCCATGCTGTGTGTTTCTCTTTCCCCATGCTTAAAATTGCATACAGCTTGTCACTTGGAAATCTACAGGATATCAAAGAGCAGGAGCTAACTCAAGTGTCTTCACTGGCTAATGCTTTTTCCTAAACCTCCAGGCTGGGGACCACAATGTCCTTCTAATTCTTTTGATACCATATAGGCTGCATTAAAAAGGGTAAACCAATGGCTACAGTCTCCAGCCATGTCAAAAAGTACAAAATACCTTTACCAAATATAATTAGGAAATTAAAAAAAATATTACCTCCTCATTAATGTTAAGACCACAACCCTTTGCATGTTCTCTGTCACTTCGGTGAAGATTTTCGTTGTAACCCTCTGACCTTTCAAATATGGTATCATAAGTGGAAACTTCCCCTGCCTTGAGAAAAGGGAAAAAAAATGGGTAATTGACAGTATCGCTTGACTTTGAAGCTTACCAATTACACACCACTGAATAATTACTTGATAACTCAATACTTAGTTACAGCACACATACAGCATTAGATGATGGCAGCTGCCATAATACTGAGCTACCATTAGCAAGTTTGGTTCACTCCTTTGGTACAGTCTGCAATAAAAACACCTAATGATGTGTGGTTTCTTTAAGTCTCTTCAGCTTTGAAATTTCCCTTGTGGCAATTCACATAAATTTTCCCCTGTAATCTGTTCCAACTTTTGGAAATTTAAGTGCTTCATTTGTTCGTTTGCTTTACTTTTCTGACCTTTATATTCTCCTTCTTAGGTTCATACATTTGTCAAATGATCTGGTATTGTAATGTAAAAGGAAAGCAGGCAGTTTCATACCTAATTTTGGATGAAAAAGACAAAGGTATCCTGCAGTGGAAATCACTGTTTAATTTCTGATTAAAGAGGAATTTAGAAGAGTTCAGAAACACACCCCATTGTTAATCCTGGGATCCAGTAGGATGCATGTATCTGTCACATAAAAATAGAGTACGCCCCAAGCCAGAATACTATTTTATTTATAATAACTGTTGACAGAGCTGCATCCAAACAAGCAAAATTAATGATCTGATCTGCTAACAAATGCATTTATGAAATCCAGTCAAGCAGGTGTCATCAACAGACTCAGGGAAATTTCAAAACCAAAGACGTTTTCAAGGAAAGAAAAGCTAAATCCTCAGTTGAAATATGCTGTCAGTTGTTAACTAACTTCATTAAAAGGTCTATATTGTGGTAAACATGTCAACTGGTCACTGGTTTTGTGCATGGCTATCTAAGAATTTGGAACACTGTACATTCTGTTTAGCCTTTTTACCTCTCATTTTATAAGGTGCCCAATTTAGCCTTTGAAAAACTCCTGTATTTTGAATCTTACCATTTACAATACTATCCTCCAAAAACAGTCAAGTCAGGACAGGTTAAGAAAGCTGTAACGGCTCCACTAAAAGGAAACCACAGGTAGAAGTGCTAGTGAGGCACCACTGTAATCACAGGCTTCTTCTGTAAATGATGATCTCCATTTACTTGCTTCTGCAGTTTAGTGGGCAGCCGGCATGTGCTCACCACCAAGAATGTTATTTGTTCCTTTGTTTTTATTAATGTGGCATTATTTGTCCATTATTTGTTACTTCTGTCAGAGTAGACAACTAATCCTTTCTGGAACTTGCAGATAGGTAGCCAGCCTGTTATGTTAAAAAGTAGCCCAGTCCCAGATGATCTTTTGCCAGATGTCTAGAGGAAACACTTTTGTGTACAATACACTGATAACTTTTTTCTCTTGTTTCTTTTCATTGTTAAATGCTGACTTAGCTGGCCTAGGCAGCAGAGGTTGGGAACTGTTTCTTAGACCCATCACAGCAAGTATACAGAGTAGACAAGAAATTTACACTCAGGGTGGGCATTCTCCATCTGCTGCTACTAAAGCTAGGCACTTTGCAAACATTCATTAATATTCCAGACACACATAAAATAGGTAATAGCTTTCTTCATGTCACAGAAGAGGAAACATCAAGTAAACTGGCTACAGTAACTTATGTAAAGCAACAGAGGGAGCAACTGTCTGCCCAGGGATTAAAAGGCAGGATTTTCTGGCCTCTGGCCTTGTGCTGAGCACACCTTCCTTTATTTCTCTCTGCTTCAGTCTCTGACACACAGTTGGTTTTAGGTATTTAAGCTGCAAAAAGGAAAAAAAAAATCCTTTTCCTGTATAAACAAACAAACAAACAAAAAAATTCTAATTGTCTAAATCCTTAACCATGCAGAGGAATGGGTTGAATTTGCTTCCTCCCCTGTGGCTGAGGCCTGCGTTGTGAAGAAACTTATCAAACAGCTGTTACCACTTTGTTTCCATGCCACTGGAGCAGTATTTTCCACAAACCAGGTCATCAGGAGTGTGAAAGCAGACTTGCAAGCAAAATGTCTACCATATGCTTGCTAAGTCTGTTTAGACTGGATAAACTGCAGGCTCCACCAGCCCCAGAAGTGCATCACGCCAGCCCTCTGACCTGCCATAGCCTTGCTCCTGTTGTGCTCTCCCTACTGTTTTGTTAAGCATGGCACCAACTGTGCCTGCTGATCTTTGGCTCAGAGCACCTTCCCAAGGCAGCATTATAACACAAAGGAGTCTGAAATGACAAATCTCCCTGTCTTTCAGCAGGGTCACTCAGTCAATGCTGGAAATTGGTTTTGCTGTTCTTTAATGCCCAGCACTGTGCTGTGGTCTGCACCTTGCCCACACCCCAGGGCCACACCACCTGCAAACTCTCACAGGTCACCAGTTGTCCCTGCCCAGTGCTCCACATGTTCAGCAGCCTGTCACTTGGGTGGGGAGAGGATTCACAGGCTATATTTATTGTCATAAATAAATAAAAGTTGCCATACTATTGCTATATCACATTGATACAATAGCCACTTCAGAACTTTTTAATGTTCTGAAAGCTGTTAAGTTCAATGTCTCCTATGACTGCTTTCAGGGTAAGAGAAAGGGTTGCTACCTCCAGGAAGTATAACACAGATGAGGCTGGAGGTCTAAGACTGGTTTTATTTCCAATTTTAAATATGAGAAAAAAGGGTGATATTGAGGGTAGCTTTAGATTGGATACGAGGAAGAAGTTCTTCAGTGTGAGGGTAGTGAGACACTGGAACAAGTTGTCCAGGGAAGTTGTGGAAGCCCCATCTCTGGAATTGTTCAAGGCCAGGTTGGCTGGGGCTCTGAGCAACCTTATCTAGTGGGAGGTGTCCCTGCCCATGCAGGGGGGTTGGAACTGAATGACCTTTCAGAGTTCTTCCAGCCATTCTACGATTCTATGATAACATAGCAACTGAGGAGTGAGGAACTGTGCTAGTCTGCTTGAGTTACTTTTCGTAGGTGTCAACGCAACACCTTCAGAAGCATTCAGCTATCAAGCTATATATTGCTGTTACTGAGTAGCTCTCTTGATTTTCTTTATTAAAGCTAAGTATGTGGAAAATTTGTGCCAACCATATTGAAAACCTTTTACGTAGACTGAAAATAAAGCAGTTCCTTAAGAATGGGTCCCTGAGAGTGTTACCAGAAAAACAACCAGTGCTACATTCAGTCCTAGTGACAGTAGTAGTTGCCCATAACAAAGCCTTACATGTTGCTGATAGCATGTGGCCACTTTGTCCTTCATCTTCCGCAAACTCTGTCTCTGCCTCCTCTTGGCACTCAAGGAAAGGCCCTGCCCTCATTTCCCACCCACGAGCAGCGAACACCCGCGACACTTGGCAAAGGCCTCTGGAAACCTGCTGCTTAGATCCTCTACCTGGACACCAACGCACAGCCCTTCCCCTGGCCTTGGAAATACGAACGGGACATTTTTAGACCCCGGCCTGACCAGACCGCTCCCCGGGAGGGCAGAGCCGTGCCCAGGGACTGAGCACCAAGTCCCTTCGCTCGGGAAAGGCGCGTCCCCCTGAAGGCGCCGGGCCCTGCCGGGCTGCGCGGCCTCTCCCCCGGCGCACTCCGGCTCCCTCCCTCACCTTGGCCTCCCGGTAGAAATAGCTGAGCTCGGGCGGCCCTGCCCGCCTTGCCGGGACGTAGCTGAAGGCGGAGAGGGAGGAG